ACAATATCATTTTCTGGATTTTTGTTTTAGATTCCATCTCTCACAGTTGAAGTGTACCTATGATAAAAATTACAGACCTCTACATGCTTTGGTAGCAAAACCTGCAAAATCGGCAGTGTATCAAATACTTGTTCTCCCCATTGTATATACACAGTGAGGGGAAAAAAGTATTTGATCACCTGCTGATTTTGTACGTTTGCCCACTGACAAAGAAATGATCAGTCTATAATTTTTTATTGTAGGTTTATTTGAACAGTGAGAGACAGAATAACAACAAATAAATCCAGAAAAACGCATGTCAAAAATGTTATAAATTGATTTGCATTTTAATGAGGGAAATAAGTATTTGACCCCCTCTCAATCAGAAAAATGTCTGGCTCCCAGGTGTTTTTTATACGGGTAACAAAATGAGATTAGGAGCACACTCTTAAAGGGAGTGCTCCTAATCTCAGTTTGTTACCTGTATAAAAGACACCTGTCCACAGAATCAATCAATCAGATTCCAAACTCTCCACCATTGCCAAGACCAAAGAGCTCTCCAAGGATTTCAGGGACAAGATTGTAGACCTACACAAGGCTGGAATGGGCTACAAGACCATCGCCAAGCAGCTTGGTGAGAAGGTGACAACAGTTGGTGCGATTATTCGCAAATGGAAGAAACACAAAAGAACTATCAATCTCCCTCGGCCTGGGGCTCCATGCAAGATCTCACCTCGTGGAGTTGCAATGATCATGAGCATGGTGAGGAATCAGCCCAGAACTACATGGGAGGATCTTGTCAATGATCTCAAGGCAGCTGGGACCATAGTCACCAAGAAAACAATTGGTAACGCACTACGCCGTGAAGGACTGAAATCCTGCAGCGCCAACAAGGTCCCCCTGATCAAGAAAGCACATATACAGGCCCGTCTGAAGTTTGCCAATGAACATCTGAATGATTCAGAGGAGAACTGGGTGAAAGTGTTGTGTTCAGATGAGACCAAAATCGAGATCTTTGGCATCAACTCAACTCGCCGTGTTTGGAGGAGTAGGAATGCTGCCTATGACCCCAAGAAACATTATGCTTTGGGGGTGTTTTTCTGCTAAGGGGGCAGGACAACTTGGGTGAGAACCTCCTTCCCTCAGCCAGGGCATTGAAAAAGGCAACAAAGGAGTGGCTCAAGAAGAAGCACATTAAGGTCCTGGAGTGGCCTAGCCAGTCTCCAGATCTTAATCCCATAGAGAATCTGTGGAGGGAGCTGAAGGTTCGAGTTGCCAAACGTCAGCCTCGAAACCTTAATGACTTGGAGAAGATCTGCAAAGAGGAGTGGGACAAAATCCCTCCTGAGATGTGTGCAAACCTGGTGACCAACTACAAGAAACGTCTGACCTCTGTGATTGCCAACAAGGGTTTTGCCACCAAGTACTAAGTCATGTTTTGCAGAGGGGTCAAATACTTATTTCCCTCATTAAAATGCAAATCAATTTGTTGTTATTCTGTCTCTCACTGTTCAAATAAACCTACCATTAAAATTATTGACTGATCATGTCTTTGTCAGTGGGCAAATGTACAAAATCAGCAGGGGATCACTGTATATATATATATATTTCCGAGAAAAAATACATATGGGGGATTGGAAGTGATGCAGACAATTACATTGATGGAAGTTACAATCTATCTGAAATATTAAAGCTGATCTACCCCCTAAAAAAAATCAATAAAAAAAAGAATGGTCCACCACCCAACGGACATCCAGCCAACTTGACACAGCTGTTGGAAGCATTGAAGTCAACATGGGCCAGTATCCCTATGGAACGCTTTTGACACCTTGTAGAGTCCATGCCCTGACGAATTGAGGCTGTTCTGAGGGCAAAAGGGGGTGCAACTCAATATTAAGAATCTGTTCCTAATGTTTGGTATACTCAGTGTATAATGGATTATAGCACAAATTATCCAATATTTACTTACCATCAAGGTCACAGCGACAAGTAAACATTTATCATGTCGAAACCAAACCAAACAAGATGGTTAAACAAAACAGTAACACTTTATTTGGATAGTCCATCTGTAGATGCTCTACAGACTATCTACAGACTATCAATAACATTTCAACTAACTATCTACTAACCCTAGCTCTAAACTTAACCCTTAATCCTAACCCTGAACTTAACCCTTACCGTAACCCTATCCCTAATCCTAACCTTAAACCTTACCCTAACCCTTATTCTAAACCTAACCCTTACCTTAACCTTAGCAAGCAGTTGCTTATCAACAGATAGTTTGTTGATAGTATGACCATGATCTGTAGAGCATTTACAGATGGACTATACAGACTATCCAAATAACGTGTGACCAACAAAACAACTAATGGCTAGCTAGCATCAAATTCAAAATGAAATACCAGACCATAAAGATCAGTTCCTTAATACATGTTAAGTATGCCGCACAGTGTTTCTGAATGAAATATGGAGCTATTTTCATCCAAACATCCCCTCAATGTCTCCCCCTGCCAGCGTCTTTGCAGTTTTCACTGCTGCCCTAGAAATGTTGGCATAAAGTATGCAGTCCTCGAAGACAGCTGCACTGCAGTGGCGTTTTTAACATGCCTGACAAGGGACTCAACCAGACCGTCAGGACATATTGTCTACAAGGCAGTGTTTCTCAACCTTTTTTGGACCAGGGACTACCAGCTATGGTCCGATGGTCTGTCTATGGTTCTCCTCCTTGGGAAGATCGCTTCGATTAAAACTGTGTCAGATGACTATCTGAACGACCAGTCAGCGACATTGCATGGATCGGTGTTGGTCCACTGCCCAGGGTTGTGTTCACTAGGGGCACACCAGAAAACAAAAACAAGCATTAATTGATGAACAAGTACAGATAGTACCTCCTTGTCTCAGTTAATTTCAGAATGTTTTATTCCGTTTTGTGCCTACTGAACATGTCCCAGGGGTATATATATATATATATATATATATATATATATATATATATCTTCATGACCAAAGATGATGTAGAAAAATATCTTATAACTTGTTGTATACCCTAACACTTAACTGTTGTACGTGGCTTTTCCTGCACTTGTCTTTTCTTACTAACTGATTTTGCTGATAGTTGCTTTATTGAGGAGTTTTATTTACAATGATTGTGATATGTACTTGTCTTACCTAGCTTCCTTAAAGATGCACTCCAGCAATTTTTTAACTGTTCCTGTTGAAAACAATATCCTACGTATAAATACAGTAATGTACACACACTTAAGGGTAAACAAATATGTTTTGAGCAAAAGTGCAAACTTCATGGAGTAGGCCATTCAAGGAGTTGGTCTGATGTCATCGGCCACCCCCCGCTTGTGCCATGTCACAAGGATACCTGGAACACTTGAGATGTGCCTTTTGTTAAGTAAATCAGGTGATAAATGAGCTGAAAAGGAGACTAGAGTAGGACTTTAAGTTGAATGAACTGACTGTGGTTGATACATTTACATTTTTGTCATTTAGCAGACGCTCTTCTCCAGAGCGACTTACAGGAGCAATTAGGGTTAAGTGCCTTGCTTAAGGGCACATCGGCATATTTGTATTTATTTTATTTTTTCACCTAGTCGGCTCGGGGATATGAACCAGCGACCTTTTGGTTACTGGCACAACGCTCTTACCCACTAAGCTACCTGCCACCCTGAGAGTGTCTGCTGGCCTTCCGAGTGGCGCAGCGGTCTAAGGCACTGCATCACAGTGCTTGAGGAGTCACTACAGACCCGGGTTCATTCCCAGGCTGTGTCGCCGCGACCGGGAGCCGGCGCACAATTGGCTCAGCGTCGTCTGGGTTAGGGGAGGGTTTGGCCGGCCGGGATGTCCTTGTCCCATTGCACTCTAGCGACTCCTTGTGGTGGGCTGGTGCATGCACGCTGAGTTCAGTCGTCAGTTTCCTACGATACATTATAATAATAATAATAAAAATATGCCATTTAGCAGACGCTTTTATCCAAAGCGACTTACAGTCATGCGTGCATACATTTTTGTGTATGGGTGGTCCCGGGGATCGAACTCACTACCTTGGCGTTACAAGCGCCGTGCTCTACCAGCTGAGCTACAGAGGACCACATTGGTGCGGCTGGCTTCCGGGTTAAGCGAGCAGTGCGGCTTGGCAGGGTTGTGTTTTGGAGGCCGCATGGCTCTCGACCTTCATCTCTCCCGAGTCCGTACGGGAGTTGCAGCGATGGGACAAGACTGTAACTACCAATTGGATATCACGAAAAAGGTTTTAAAAAAGAATACAAAAAGAGTGTCTGCTAAATGACTAAAAATTAAATGTAAAATGTACAGTATATCAGACTGAACAACTAAGACGGACATAAGGGCCGGTTTCCCGGACACCTATAGAAGGAACAGTTTGAAACACAAGCACATCTCCTAACAAACTGACACATGAAATATACAAGCATTCATCATCACATTTCAAACTTTATGGGCCGTTTTCATAGGCTAGGGACTAAAAAGCATTGCATCCAGTAAGTTCCATTGATGCTGGTTTGAATATTACTTGAATAGAGAGGAGGAACTTGATGGATTGATTCCAAGGGCCTGTACAGAATTTATCATCCACAATGGCCCCTCAAAAAGCCTGGAGTCACAAAGGAAGAACAACAGGCTGCTGAATTATTCATTCACATTCAAGTGTCCTATATCTTAGGTCAACACTTGACCTAGGTATCCAACACATTCCCATAAAATGCTGGAGGAAAGGAGCTTTTATGAGTCACAATGTTTTTTTAAGAGGCTGTGAATAAGTAACTGAATGAATGAATAGGTTCCCTCACACTTGACAAGTTAATCTTCCCACAAATCACGTTGATGCCTTTCCATGTATCTTTTTCAATGTCTTCCCTCCTCGAAACTGAATGTAAAAGCAAAGCTAATCATTACTTTAAGTCTTATGTTCTGTCTCTTCTACAATTGAAAACATATCTTGTGTATTTTTCTACATGTCGAGCCCCGCCCTATACAGACAGACGCACTGCTATCACGCAGTTGCGTAATTTGACAAGCACAAGCGCAAAACAAGAGGGAGTGAGCAACAGACAACTGCCTGGTTTGAGCTATTTGTTCAAATCAGAATTAGTCCTATGCTAAATTATCCCCCCCGTCGCCACAATTTAGCGGTCTACTGGACATAACATTATCAGTGTTTATGGCCACTGACTTATTAACCAAGAATGTTTGGGTCGCTCTGGGGCCGGACGCACCCGACCACTGTAAACCCACCGCACCACCACTAGCGGACGGGCTGAGAGCAGGGGGAGGAAAAGATCATGGTCATGGACAAGTCCTCAACAACATGAGGAATACAATCGGTGGAAGCTCTTCATTTCACGACTACAATCTGGTACGGTATTTAATTAGAAAGCGAATTTACAGTTTGAGCGAGGAGATTGCATGGCTTCGTTGGGTCACGCCACTAACACACCCAGCTTGTAAATGTAGCCCATTTCATTTTTTAAGAGTAATATGGGAATGTTCAGCCACATCACTATAAAGATAGGTTGTACAGTAACCTATAGGCGGTAGGTAGCCTATGACAAATTCCCTGTGACCTGGGTCGTGCTGAACTGACAGCGGATGTTAAGTGAACACTTTGATATTTAGGCTATAGTATAGGCTACTATTCAGCTATCTAATTACCAGGCAAAATAGCCTATATGTACAGACAGATAGTGGACTGAGATTAAACGTTTCCCATCTCAAAACGTATAGAATGAGATGCATAACGCATGCAGGCAGCAGCTGGACAGTCTAAATTCAGCTATAGATTTCCATCGCCAGCCCAGCCCATTGCCTAGACAGGAGTACTAGTTCAGAAGCCCAGCTGCTTGGAGGGGATTTCTTTCATGTGTTAATAGCCTTCAGTACATCGGGCCCCAATATTCCCCCAAGCGATGCGGACTGGTTCGAGTTGTTTTGTTTTTCAAATACTGTAGGCCTGCCTACATGTGTTTCAAAATATGTTGATTGACACATGTGATCTTGTTTTGCGTTGGTCAGCGTAGTCTTTTTAGGGATATTAATGGTTTTACGAGAGATGTAGCAGTGTAGTCTACATGATAAATGCTTTACTGCTGACTGGTTGATATGAACTTGATCACCACTCTCTCCGTTCTCTCCTAGAGCACTGGTGGGGCTGCAAAAATATATAATTTAATAGTGAGATAGCCAATGAAACCATTAGCCTCAGAGATCCGACTCTATGTACATTTTTCAATTTGAGTTGGAGCGGCTCCATTCTCTAATAGGGCAGCTAGGAGCTGGCACGTGATATAGCTGGAACATGTAGCTTAATCCAGAGATGCAATATTCCAATGTATTCCAAATTCGCCCATTATCCAAACTGCCAAATCAAGAAGTTTTAAAGACTGCTCGTTTTTTAAGTACACTGCCGTTTTCGTCCTCATGTTAGCTAGTAGTAGACACAACAGCCATTACATCACGTTGGACAACAGGATAGTCAGCCAATCAGCTCCTTTCGTGCTGCTGTGACTAAACTATCTAGCATGAGGACAAAAACAGCAGTCAGATCCCTGGCTAGATTAGCCTATGCCACACCAAATTCCAGTAGCCTTCACAGGGTTTATTTCAGCGATGGGCCTGTGAATACTAAACATGTATCTACTTTATAGGCCATGTCAGTGAAGGATTGGATTGTTAGCTAGCGAATATGCTAACGTTAGCTAGCTAGCTAAACATTTGGCTATGGGCTGGCAATGGCAGTATGGGATTATGGAGAGTGAATTAAATTGTTTCTTCATCATTTTGCTAGGTAGTTATCTAGCTGTGGCCATCTGGCTAGTATCAACAAGGGCTTTCTACAAAATAGCAACATTAGTGGTAACATTGGAATCTAAACCATAAGCAATACGCACAGATATGCAATGCCAAACAACCCTACTGCCACCTTCTGGTTTGGAGTATTTTAACGAGGCTGGGTGGCTGACTACTTCCAAGGTCTTTGCTGTGTCAACACAAAAGAGATTGACTGCTGTTTGTCAATCCTACTAGTGTGTGAGCTTTAACACTTGCGCACAGCACTCTCTCTCTCTCTCACACACACACACACACACACACACACACACACACACACACACACACACACACAATTCTTTAAGTACTGTTAAAGCTTCAGGCATTCTAAATAAGTGTGACTATAGGAGAAAAAAAACTGGCCCTATGGATACAAATAACAAAGAGCTTTTAAACTTGTCCAACAATGTTATGAAACCACTGTAACCATCTGTACTGTTCAGCTAACTTTACACACAGGTCTACACACTCTCCCTCCCTCCCACACCCTCGCTCTCACACTATTGACTATTATATTGATTACTGCATTGTTGGGAATGAGCAAGTAAGAAAGGCATTTCACTGTGCTAGTGCACATGACAATAAAAACTTGAAACTTGAAACACACATCCTCTCTCTCACACACACACATATCCTTACACCCCCCACTCTTGCAGCCCAATCTTTGAAGCATCTCTTTGAGGAGCCTATTCCTTTTAAGTTCTTCCTGCGCCATCCAAATGTGTGCATAGCCTAGTCAGTGGTCAAGTTATCAGTTTGCTAGCTAGCTAATGTCGTTTGTTATCAAACCAAAAAATAGCGGCTTGCAAGTAGTTTAAAACAGCCCCGCGACATGCGCCCGAATCCGCGGCAGAAAGAAAAAACATAGCTCCGGTAATATTGGGCATAACTTTCACATGATTTTGGCTAGAGGTACGCAGTCTTCAGTAATTTAAAGGCACAAGCATTGACTGTAGCTGTGTTCTGGGTCCATGCGGAAACACGTGCGCTTAAACGGTTTCCGTGCGGTGAAGAAATGGAGACGCGATTAACGGTGTCACATTTATTTTACTGCGATTAACATTACATTTTACATTTTAGTCATTTAGCAGACGCTCTTATCCAGAGCGACTTACAGTTAGTGAATACAATGTTGTTGTTTTTTTCTTTCTTCATATACTGGCCCCCCATGGGAATCGAACCCACAACCCTGGCGTTGCAAACGCCATGCTCTATCAACTGAGCTACATCCCTGCCGGCCATTCCCTCCCCTACCCTGGACGACGCTGGGCCAATTGTGCGCCGCCCATGAGTCTCCCGGTCGCGGCCGGCTGCAACAGAGCCTGGATTCGAACCAGGATCTCTAATGGCACAGTTAGCACTGCGATGTCACGCGTTAACTTTCACAGCCCTAGTATTAACTGTAACTCACAAATACTCCATACAGTTGAAGTCGGAAGTTTACATACACCTTCGCCAAATACATTTAAACTCAGTTTTTCACAATTTCTGACATTTAATCCTAGTAAAAATTCCCTGTTTTAGGTCAGTTAGGATCACCACTTTATTTTAAGAATGTGAAAATGTCAGAATAATAGTAGAGAGAATTATTTATTTCAGCTTTTATTTATTTCATCACATTCCCAGTGGGTCAGAAGTTTACATACACTCAATTAGTATTTGGTAGCATTGCCTTTAAATTGTTTAACTTGGGTCAAACATTTTGGTTAGCCTTCCACAAGCTTCCCACAATAGGTTGGGTGAATTTTGGCCCATTCCTCCTGACAGAGCTGGTGTAACTGAGTCAGGTTTGTAGGCCTCCTTGCTCACACACACTTTTTCAGTTCTGCCCACACATTTTCTATAGGATTGAGGTTAGGGCTTTGTGATGGCCACTCCAATACCTTGACTTTGTTGTCCTTAAGCCATTGTGCCACAACTTTGGAAGTATGCTTGGGGTCATTGTCTATTTGGAAGACCCATTTGCGACCAAGCTTTAACTTCCTGACTGATGTCTTGAGATGTTGCTTCAATATATCCACATAATTTTCCTTCCTTATGATGCCATCTATTTTGTGAAGTGCACCAGTCCCTCCTGCAGCAAAGCACCCCCACAGGATGATGCTGCCACCCCTGTGCTTCACGGTTGGGATGGTGTTATTCGGCTTGCAAGCCACCCCCTTTTTCCTCCAAACAGCAGCCTTTCAGGTTATGTCGATATAGGACTTGTTTTACTGTGGATATAGATACTTTTGTACCTGTTTCCTCCAGCATCTTCACAAGGTCCTTTGCTGTTGTTCTGGGATTGATTTGCACTTTTTGCACCAAAGTACGTTAATCTCTAGGAGACAGAACGCGTCTCCTTCCTGACCGGTATGACGGCTGCGTGGTCCCATGGTGTTTATACTTGCGTACTATTGTTTGTACAGATGAACGTGGTACATTCAGGCGTTTGGAAATTGCTTCAAAGGATGAACCAGACTTGTGGAGGTCTACATATTTTTTCTGAGGTCTTGGCTGATTTCTTTTGATTTTCCCATGATGTCAAGCAAAGAGGCATTGAGTTTAAAGGTAGGCCTTGAAATACATCCACAGGTACACCTCCAATTGACTCAAATGATGTCAATTAGCCTATCAGACCCTTCTAAAGCCAAGACATAATTTTCTGGAATTTTCCAAGCTGTTTAAAGAAACAGTCAACTTAGTGTATGTCAACTTCTGACCCACTGGAATTGTGATACAGTGAATTGTAAGTGAAATAATCTGTCTGTAAACAATTGTTGGAAAAATTACTTGTGTCATGCACAAAGTAGATGTCCTAACCGACTTGCCAAAACTATAGATTGTTAACAAGAAATTTGTGGAGTGGTTGAAAAACTAGTTTTAATGACTCCAACCTAAGTGTATGTAAACTTCCGACTTCAACTGTATATTAAAAAAAATCAGAACACTCACGACTATCTCTTTTTTTCCTTGCAGGGTAATTCCGAGATGGACAAATATCTGTCACCTCCTCAGAAAGTCCCAGACACCAGACAGCCATCTTTCACGGAGGACCTTGGTTCCCCACACAGCATCAACATGAGCCTCCTCCTCCCTGACGTTACCTACCTGCACCCCAGCCTGTGTCGGCCTATGAGACCCATCAAGACAGAGCCTCTCTCCCACTCCCTCATCCACCCAAGTTGCCAGTGCAACCCTGGTCCAACAACACTTCCAGAACACCCTGGGCTTTATGGCACTTCGACAGACACAGGAAGTAGCCTGTTCATCAAACAGGAAATGCCCTCCCTGGACTTCCCAGACGTTCCGTTGTTCCAGCTGTTGAACTCTGAGCTGGAGCAGCTGGTGCCCGTTCACCCGGTGAACACCAACCTCCACAGGGGTGTCCCTGTGTCCTCCTTGTCGGTCCCTTTCAGCAAAGTCCACTTACCATCCCCCCAGATTGTTGTCAAATCTATGGGATGCCCACAAAATGGTGGCTATCCTCTGACAACCCAGTTCGCAAGCCATTCGCAGCAGCGACCAGCCTATCTTCCTCCGTCCCCGCCCAACTCCGAGCCAGGGAGCCCAGACAGAGGGAAAGAGCTGATCCAGAATCTGTCTCCGCCTCCATCTTATACAGCCAGTATTGCCTCGAAACTAAGTCCTGGTCTTGGGCCAGTCCAAAGCTCAGGTCTAGGACCAGTTCCGAGCACCAGTCTTAGATTAGTTCAGAGTCCAGGTCTTGGACAAAGCCAAAGTTCTAGTCTTGGAGCAGGCCAGAACCCTGGTGTTGGGCCAGTGTCCCCAGCATTGGCTCAATCAGGTCCAGGGAGGTTTAACCGCAGGAATAACCCTGACCTGGAGAGGCGGAGGATACATCACTGTGACGTTCCAGGTGAGGAGACATCGCAGGTAGTCTCAATACACTAAAGCAGGGTTCTCAAACTGCCGGCCCACAGGCTGAATTTGGCCCGTGGGTGGTTTTTTCTAAGCAAGAAAATACATATATATATATTTTTTTTAATTTTCATTGTTGGATATAATAGACTGTAAAAAACTTCAAAATCAGCTCCAAGTGATTTATATTTTTGAAATCTGTTCCCAAGTATTCCCACACATAATAGAGAGACACGTGATCATATACAAATGTAAGGAAGGTTTGAAATGATTATGTTTTATTCAATTTGCAGTCTACAAATTATTTGTAATTATGTTCCGACCTCCCGACCATCCGCTCAAGAAAAAAACGGACCGCGGCTGAATCTAGTTGATGATCCCTGCACTAAAGTCTGTCGAAGCTCGGTAGTCGAAGTCTACACCCATTTGTCGGTGATTGGTCAACAGTGCAGGAAATGTTAAACTAGTGGTGTATTTGAGGTTTAAAAGGCTTCTGAAGTGTGTAATTTCCACTTTGAAATTCCAGACTTGACCTTCCCTTACGAAAAATGTATCAACCCCTACAAAAATGTCCATTAATTATAATCCACACAATAATTCAAATGTTCTGTTGCTGCAGGAATATTTTCCTGCTGTAGCAAACTGGCTCAAATTAAGATCCTACAGCTGTAGTGGGAGAGATGCTTTGGTTTGCTGTTGAGTAATAAAGACTAGTAGCAGATTATATTATTATGTTCTTGAAACCCATGGAATTGAATCGTAAAGATCAAACAAACAGAAAATGTAACGATTCCATAAAGGTCTAACTTGACTTATAAGCATGAAATTAATGCAATGTGTGGTTTATAATTCAATCATGACCATTAACACCACTCTGTCAGATGTAGGATGTTGTTCTTGTTAAAAGCTTATTAATCAATTATAGGTATGCTGTAATGACATGCATTTGGTTCCATTATTTTTCATCAGAATGTAAGAAAGTCTACACCAAGTCCTCCCATTTAAAGGCCCATTTGCGGACACATACGGGTAAGTGTTTTACTGGTAACATTATAAAAGTCCTGTTATGGGCGACTCGTCTCTTATTTTGGGGGGCCAGTATGTTATGTTGCCAGGCAAAATAATGCTTTTGGCACGCAGATGCATTCTGAATGCTAAATGAGATCTGGCCCGCCAAATGTTGCCGCATGTTGTTGAACGGGAAAGCTGTTTTAAACAGCTTAAACAAACAAAACGGAAATGTTTCCTTGTTTGTGTTTTTATGTCTTCATCTATTATTTAAAAAAATATAGATTCTAATTCATTCAAGATACTTGTGTCAAATATTGAAATATTATCTTTACTGACCCTATCAACACAAAGTTTTATAGTTTAAAGTATTTAGTTAGTACTGTACATTTGTGACGTAACATGATCACCCCTGTTTCTGCGGTAGAATAATCTCATTCTGTGCTGCATTCCAGGAGAGAAGCCGTACCAATGCTCCTGGGAGGGGTGCGAGTGGCGCTTTGCTCGTTCCGACGAGCTGACACGCCACTTCAGGAAACACACAGGTGCCAAGCCCTTCCAGTGTGGTGTGTGTAACCGCTGTTTCTCCCGGTCTGACCACCTGGCTCTACACATGAAGAGGCACCGGAGTTAGAGAAGCCTACCTACCGTATATCATTTTTTTTATTAGATCAAATTCAAATTAAACTTTATGTTAAGTGTACTTAAGTAAATCTCAACACATTTCAAATGTGGTGTTGAAACACACATGGATTTGTTTTATTGTACCAATGTATCTTACAATGACTACAAGATGGATGTAGATTTTCCATGTATTTATTTCAGTAAATACTGCCATGGTTAGATTTTTGAATAAGAGCACAAAGGTGGATTGAGTCAAGCTATAATGATCAAACAAGCTACTTTTTAGTATCTCTATGATTTATCTACAGCAGTGTTTCCCAAACCTCTGCTGATGTACCCCCAGCCGTTTCACCTATTTGATCTATTCCAATACTAGCACATCTGATTCCACTAATCATTTGATGGTAAGTTTACGGCCCGGTTTCACAAAAGCATCTTAAGGCTAAGTTCATCATTAGAACCTTTGTAGGAGCATCGTTAAATTTTGTTGCACTTGAAAACACTCATAATCTAACGCCTGCCTCAGACCACTTGTATTATTTTTTGCCCTCACTTTATACACAGAAGATCTCCGCTAAACATAGCATCACATGGTTTATCCGTCTTTCAGTGACCACCGATAACTTCAGAACAAAGTTGACTACAAATACAAAGTTGCCAATGTCTTTGCAATTGATACAAACAAGCAAGTATAAAAAGATGCTTCAAATGAAAACCCAGATGACCGCATTAAATTATAAACAGTAGGCTATAGGCCTATTTCAATCATATTGAGTTATATTTTGCTACTTGTAGGCTACTGTCTGTAATTTGTCTCAATATATTTCATGATGTGTAGCCTAACTTGTGCACAATGATGTACCAAATCTGTGATTTAGTGCATTTTTATTGGGTAAGCATCAGAGTAAGCCACCTCAATATTTGCAGCCGTTGGTGGTAATACTGTATCTCTAGGAGCTGATCAGTAGTCAGTATTGTGAAATAATTATAATGTTAAGGAAATATTTGAATGGAGAAAGCTGATCCGAGAGCAGCACTCCCTTTCTTTCGATCATATCCGTATCGACACATGCTCCAACGACGCATTTAGCTACCGTTCTCACTGTGTGGTGTTTTGGGAAACACATGTTACATCTTCGGCCGTTGTAGGAAAGATGCATCGTTAAAACACTCGTAAGCCTAAGTTCCATCGCTATAGATCAAAAAAGTGAAACAGTTGGGGTTCTCAATTTACAGTATTATCTCTGTCTTTTCTACTTGGTATTGGTACTTAAAGGCAAAATATCAGAACATTTATTGCTATTGACGTGTAAGTATGACTACGACTACATTTAAATCCTGTATATCATGTACAAATGGAAGTCTAAGTAATATTTTTAAAATTATTGTTTAAGAATGATATATCACACATTATAGTACTGATTTTCTAAGTGCCTTTTAATGTTTTATTAATGAATTAAAGACTAAGTAAAAGACAGTCCGTTGACTTGATTGCTGCCTTTCTTGGCTATAAAAAATGTAATATAGTTACGGTGTTGTACATTTTTTATTTATTTATGATAATATGATTAAATACATTGAATAATAATCGCTATCATTTCAGATTACGAAAATGTGTTGACATGTAAATATTTTGTATCCTCTGTATTTCGGATCTTATTGTTTTGTTTATTGCTCCTTTAAACTGTAAACTTTGGTTTACGCTGACTTTAAATGATACTAAGTAGTGCTTAAAAAATATTAGTGTTTTTAGATGACATACTTATAGGCTATAATGGCCAATATGTGCCAAGATGGCTACATGAGCAACAAAAAAATCTAATAAACTGTGTGTTTACAATGTTATACCTTGGGAAAAGTTCTGTTATTGTATTCAAGGCATGTGCAAGATATGTGTGGATTAATATAGTATTCACCTGTCATAGCAACAAAGAATTTCACACCCACTGTGTCAACACTGCTCTGTGAGAAAAGAACAGCAATGATCCGCGCAGACCTTTCACAGAGAATAATATTTCATCTCATTGGCACATAACATTCCTCTTTCAAGACGTTTGCTCTTTCATTGGAACCTGAGCTATTGTGTTTGTAATGCCATCTGTCAGTTTCTCATAGAGCAATGCAAACACTAAGATTGATGTACCTTTATGTACAATTAATTCTCCTGAGGTTGACACACCCTTGCAAAATCCACCTAGCTCTTTGGTAATTATATGGCCATAAAAACTCATGTTCACTTACACCCCACTTGCCCAACAAACGATTTACTTCCATGTTTGTTTGCTTGCTTTTTGGATCTTGTTGGGCCTATTGCAACCATTGTTGGTTACTGTATTATATAATGTATAATATGCCACTTAGCAGACGCTTTTATCCAAAGCGACTTACAGTCATGCGTGCATACATTTTTGTGTATGGGTGGTCCAGGGGATCGAACACACTACCCTGGCGTTACAAGCGCCGTGCTCTACCAGCTGAGCTACAGAGGACCACATTATTATCTCCAGGTAATCTCTTGTTAAACCATAAACATGCACTAAGATCACTGCACAGCTGATCTGAATAGCAACCATTATTGGCCACTATTACCGATCCTTAAAGCTGATGTCGGTGTTAACTTTTAGTCCTTCTTTCTCACAAAATCGTTCAAGACATGTTCGCTCTGTACAGGGTATTATCTTCTGTATAAATTAAACCGACTCATTGAGCAGACTCAGCGCAGATGTAACTATTTGACATTTATTCCGTGAAATAAAGTGAAATAAAGTATCTCCTTGTTTACCACAGGAAATCTACTGTGGCAATTTACACTACACATTTTATCAATGGAAAGCTCATATTTACTTTTTCATGTACAATTTATATAATCCATTAATAACAATTTCTCTTAATACTGTATGGTAATTTCTTATTAAGAAGGGAAAATAAAACATCTCTGAACTGTCCACATCTAAAATGTGTAACTAAATCAAGCCAATCCTGATTGAGTTATTTTAATCTACAAATTATATTCTAATTATGTTGACATTTAAGATTAAATGTTTGTAGCAAATATAATCCTATAGACAGATTGGTTGTTTAGCAACAAAACCGACGTGTGCACAAATATGGGGCAAAACAGACATGGTAAACAACAAGTAAACTATATTTATTCTCAAAATGTTTATTGAAAACATAAATACATTTGCACAATGAGCACTTGTTGTCTCTCAAATACATCATTACAGTTGTTGGTTAGCTAGCTAGCTAATTTAAGCCATATTAGCATAGACGTGACATGAGTCAGAACAGCTCAAAACAAGACATGGTATCAATAACAAGATACAACGAGCTGAAACGAGCCACGTCGACTCCCAACATGGCAGTTTCTTGTCATTGTTGCTAGCTATCTGACCGTTTATAATCAAAACACAACACGGCCTCCTGCCCCATTGAAGCGCACGCATAGTTTTTGTGATGTTGTCACCTAACCCGTCTATATTCTTACAATACGTTTTTTATATGAATTACCAGCCTTGCGATTTTCAATGTTCCTCATAGGTCAATATTTCATTGGGAACGGGAGTAGAGAACCTGGACACAGCTGTCTTATATGCTACATGACCAGAAGTATGTGGACACATGCTCGTCGAACATCTCATTCCAAAATCATGGGCATTAATATGCAGTTGTTCCCCCCTTTGCTGCTATAACAGCCTCCACTCTTCTGGGAAGACTTTCCACTAGATGTTGGAACATTGCTGCGGGGACTTCCTTCCATTCAGCCACAATAGCATTCGTGAGGTCGGGCACTGATGTTGGGCGATTAGGCCTGGCTCGCAATCAGCGTTCCAATTCATCCCAAAGGTGTTCGATGGGGTTTAGGTCAGGGCTCTGTGCAGGCCAGTCATGTTTCTGTATGGACCTCGCTTTGTGCATGGGGGCATTGTCATGCTGAAACAGGAAAGGGTCTTCCCCAAACTGTTGCCACAAAGTTGGAAGCACAGAATCGTATAGAATGTCATTATATGCTGTAGCGTTAAGATTTCCCTTCACTGGAACTAAGGGGCCTAGCCCGAACCATGAAAAACAGCCCCAGACCATTATTCCTCCTCCACCAAACTTTACAGTTGGCCCTATGCATTCGGCAGGTAGTGTTCTCCTGGCATCCGCCAAACCCAGATTCGTCCGTCGGACTGCCAGATGGTGAAGCGTGATTCATCACTCCAGAGAACGCGTTTCCCCTGCTCCAGAGTCCAATGGCGGCCAGCTTTACACCACTCCAGCTGACGCTTGGCATTGCACATGGTGATGTTAGGCTTGTGTGCGGCTGCTCAGCCATGGAAATCAATTTCATGAAGCTCCCGACAAACAGTTCTTGTGCTGACGTTGCCTCAAGAGGCAGTTTGGAACTTGGAAGTGAGTGTTGCAACCGAGGACAGATTGGTTTTACCCGCTACAGCACTCGGGGGTCCCGTTCTCTGAGCTTGTGTGGCCTAGCACATCGCGACTGAGCCGATGTTGCTCCTAGATGTTTCCACTTCGCAATAACAGCACTTACAGTTGACCGGGGCAGCTCTAGCAGGGCATCCTATGACGGTGCCACGTTGGAAGTCCCTGAGCTCTTCAGTAAGTCCATTGTACTGCCAATGTTTGTCTATTTATTTTTATTTATTTTTTTTTATTTTTTTTTTGTTCATTTAGCAGACGCTCTTATCCAGAGCGACTTACAGGAGCAATTAGGGTTAAGTGCCTTGCTCAAGGGCACATCGACAGATTTTTCACCTAGTCGGCTCAGGGATTAGAACCAGCGACCTTTCGGTTACTGGCACAACGCTCTTACCCACTAAGCTACCTGCCGCCCTATGGAGATTGCATGGCTGTGTGCTCGATTTTATACACTTGTCAGCAACGGGTGTGGCTGAAATAGCCAAATCCACTAATTTGAAGGGGTGTCCACATACTTTTGTAGTATCAAACTCTCTTGACATGGTAACAACATGAGATCAACTGATCTGCTGGTTTAGAGTG